CCCCCCCCCCCCCCCTCCCAAGTTGTCCACTTGGAAACGTGATGAAATAGGAACAGAGTAAATTTAGGAACCGTGTGTGGCTATTCTGTCTAAAAGCTGTTAATATTCCATTTACTTAAAAGTCGCTGAAAGTCAGGCTATATAAAACCATAATTTTGCCATTTGTTTAGTATAGTTGCGAAGTTTGTTTCTTACCTTGAAGGAAGAACACAGATTCAAATTTTTGTTGAAACAAAGCTCAAAGTAAAGGGGGTATGGTGGGCCTGACATTTGTCTTGGATTGGGGAAACAAATTCACACAGAATTTTGGTCAGGAAACGTCTTATAAAGTGGCCAGTTGGAAGACAAATGGGATGGAAAAGTAAAAAAGATGGAGTTTGGAGAGGTGGAAGTTTTTGAAACTTTGGATTTTACTACTGTAGAGTTAATTCAGTTAGTGATCATTGCTATATTCAAAGTGATGATAAGAAAAAGTAGCAACAAACTTATGTCATTGCATGCTGTTGCAGGTATAACACTGGAGATGAAGATAACTTCAGCCAGCCTACACTTTTCTGGAGGAACACCTTGACACCAGAGGAACGAGGGCGTCTGGTGCAGAACATTGTGGATCACGTGAAGGATGCTACTGACTTCATACAGGTAGGTCGCAGTTTCTACCTCATCAGAATAGCAATCTTAATGCTTCTGCTGTATTAGGACATAAATATCACAGTCCTATGAATGTAGCATACAAACATATTTTTTGTGTTTTGGCTGTATAACCTGTCTGATAATAATAATCCGTGGCGTAACAGCTCCAGAGAGCCAGAGCCGACTAGCTTGACTGCTGGCCTCGCGTTCACATGCCTAAGCAGAGATGAACGATCATCCAACCAGATATAGGGTGACGTGTGGTCAGCACGACGAACCCCCAGCCATCGCTAGCTTTCCTGACCGGATTACGCTACTCATTGTAGCTCCCCAATTTCCTCACGATGCTGGGTTGGCACCGGTCCCATACAACGATCGAAAATCTCATGAGAAATTTCTTTCTCTGGGACTCGAACCAACGCGCATTCCATATCACCGGTCCGAAGCATGATGCCTCAGACCGCGCGGCTACGGCGCGGGACAACCCGTCTGATAGCAAGAGTAATATTTACTCAGTGAAGGGCATCTGAAATTATTTTCTTATGTGCTTCCATTTTTATTCTCTTTAAGTTTAAGTTAACTGTCTTTGTCGTTTCCTGATCCCATATTTCATGAGTTTTCTTTTTTTTTCCACAGGAACGCACTGTGAAGAATTTCAGCCAGGTGGATGCTGAATTTGGTCGCAAATTGACCGAGGGTCTGCGTAAACATGCCAAGAACAAAAGCATTGCCTATGCAAATCTTTGAGCTGCGATTCATAAACAAATTTACTTAAGGTGTTAGTGGGACAAATTCTTGGGTAGAGGATTTGCGTACTTTGTTTCATTGGTGTTTAGGAGATTGTATCTATATTTGGTACTTTTATACATTTGATGTGGCCGGGCTTGTTGTTTATAATATCTATCACTAATGTACGTTGTTTTGCTCTGTGAAGCAGGGTAATGCCTTTGTATTTTGGAAACATGACATGCTGGGAAAATATAGTTACTGGTAATAATTTGAATTTTATTATTAAATAACAGTGACAGCAATACATTTAATTGAACATTGAAGGTTAATAGAATTTTGAATAACTTGAAAAGGGAAGGAAGTTTTGATTAACGAGTTCTCGTTGCGGACGTTCATGTTTTATAAGTTGACGGGACAAAGCCGTGTGTGTTGAAGCGCCATTCATTATGTTAGTTTCAGTTTATGAATCAACGTATTTTATGGCAGTGGGGCTCCTCGGACTGTGCATAATTATTGGAACAATCTTTCCACTGCAATTTGTTTTTCATCCAAACAAAAATTACTCGTAGAATAGAGTCTTATAATGATCGCCCATACAGTCTACTTCAGACCACTGTTCAGTGCCTCAGTACTGACAATCTTGCAACTAAACCATGTGCGTCAAGAAGGTGGTGACTCATTTCAGAAATAATTTTCTCATCAAAACCACACATTTATTTATTTCTCCTACTGGGAAAAAGGTTTCTTTAGAAAATTAATTATTGTTGGATTTGATGTTAATTTTAAATCCTAGATGTATTCTGTAGAAGAAAAATACAGTTACGAATTCTTACTTGTAATATCGTAATGTGTGTTGCGTGTAAAACAAGTAAACTGAATCGATCTTTCGAGTAACATTAATCTTAAAATAAATCAAAATAATTATTGAAACATCCTTCGATGAATATGATCTAATATTTACAGAGGAGTAAAATAGTAAAAGATATGTTTTTCTAAATCATACATTTTCAGTATTAAATTGGAAGACATATCAGCTCTCTCTCATGCGGTCTCCTTAATATATATCGTTAATTAAAAATGAACTAGATCTTCGGTGAAGTTACATACAATAGTAATTGAATTTCTCTGCCTTCTACATACACTAAGTTTAGGCACATTTAGGTAAGTTGTGTCCTTCGGTATCGTTGCATAGCGTAGGGTTGCGTGTGCCAGTTGTAGAATTTTTCTCTCATAAAATTAGCATTAAAATTTTAATATGACAATTTATCCTCCTCTGTCTGATTAATTAATTATTTAATTTATGTGATTATTTTTATATCAAATTATGGCTTCATTCAGTTACACCTCTCTCTGTTTCCGTGTTTTTTTTCTTATTATTATTATGCAAAATAATGAAACTTTGCTTCTTTTATTGCAACCACGAGACACGTGATAACATATTAACTTTTGGCATATTATGTTAAGGATTTTTTTAAACTTGCTGTTTGATGAGTGGTATTGCTAAGCATTACTACCAGTATTAAGCTGAAGCTGGTCTTAATATTCTATTCTACATTCTAAAGGTAAGTTTTATAACAAATATTTCCATTTTGTATTTATACAAAGTGCCTCAGAAATATTCAGAGTCTTACTAAATAAAGTACAATAAGTCCGAGGGTGATGATGACTCACAGTGGAATTAGAAACAACAGAGCAGCAAATTTACAAAAACCATTTAGTAAACAGCAGTTTAGGGCTGTTCAAAAATCGGTTCTAAATTCTTGAATTGTAGTTATGTTTATATCTATATAGTATTCTTCAGATACCTCGCAGACAAAATTCTGGTGGTTTAAAACGTTAAGAATATGAGGCCGTAATTATCTTCCTTTATATTGCTTCATAGTAGATTCTGATATTGCAGTCAGAAAGTTGGGAGCCTCTGGGAGAAGTAACGAGCGACAGGTACAGTGAAGAATTCAGACGTGTACTCTTCGAAGGAAAAGGAGTCGATAATACCTCAGAAACAACGCCTCTGGTCAGTCGTGGCAGATTTGCTGGCTTGTCCACATGATTGGATTCTCAAATTTAGTTAGTCTTTATTTATGAAATTAAACAATAATTTTATGTCTTAAAATTATCTTAAAATGCAGATACGCTCAGATGTATTGTCATCTTTAAAACTCAATTATTACTGTCTCAGTTAAAGCAGTGTTAATTTGACGTTTATGATACGGACCACATTTATTTTAAGAGTCCGAGTCAAGAAATGCAATAGACATTTTCTTTAAGAATGTAGACTCGTCACAAAATTATTTAGTATCCACTTCATAATTTTTGAGACTATTAAATATCTGTGCTGAAACCCAGCTGTCATCTCATCCATTAACAGACTAGCCTCGGAATTCTTTGTTCATCTTTCAGTCGAGTAGGATTTAAGATTCACTTCCTTGATCTTCGTCCATTCCTGTGAAGATGACTGAGAATGCAACATCTAACATCTTCTTCCAGGCTGCCTCATCTTCGCATGTAAACTTAGATCCAAGTTTCTTTTTCAGCAGTTTTAATAGAGTTATTTTAAGATCCTGAAAACAAAACCAAATTCAGCTGAAAATTTAATGGATGAAGCTACCATATAAATATAATAATTGGGAAATGGTAATCTTAAGATTGATGCTTCTGATCAGAATATCAGTGAAAGAAATATCTTGTCAGCTTTCAGCAGTTAAAGCTCACTGTTTGTAGCTGTTCATCTATAAACTGTAACATTATAAGTCTATTTGAATAAAAAATCTCCTTGGAAGCTGTTAATTGCAAAGTACCACGTAAGGAAAAGGGAGCGTAAGTTTGTCGTGCTGAGACGAGACTTATCTTCTGACAAATCCTGCAGACGCTAGATGCTACTCACATTGAATTCCTGTCTTGAGATGCCATGCTTACGGTGATTCTGTCCCAGCTTCGTCAGCATTTCAACAAGACACCCTGTGTCATCCAAATTGTCCACAATGCTTGTCAGGGCGTACATTACGCTTGTACAGTGAGCTTGGAACCTGTTGTTACTGGGCAGATCCTTCAGAGGGACATCTCTGAATGACTTGAAATATCTTTGGTGACTTGGATTTGCTTCAAAGAACCTGCACAAAACAAGCATTCGATATCAATAAGATGTTGGAGGAGATGATTCAGTCAGTATAATGACTGGCTGTGAAGTAAACAATCAGGGTTCATTTCCCAGCAAGATACTGGACTTTTTCGTTACCTAAATTTTCAGACTGGGTCCACCCAGCCTCCTGTGCTGTGGGTTCAATGGGCTTTTTACCCCAGGGGTAAAGCAGTTGGAGTGAGAAAGTGACCACTCATCTCCATTTAGTGTTGAAATTAGGAACACATGTAGCTTTGCCTCCATACCCCCCAGAAGTGTTCCTGGTGTGGTATTTAGGCAAAGGGGCAGCTTTTTCTTCATCTTTCTTTGTTGGGAATCCACGGTACTAAGTGGCGAAAATGATAACATATGTCGAAATGTAACAAATGTACAAATAGATCATAAATGGGTTATGAGGATGGGAGGTTGTAACTAAATTAGGTTAGGTCGTCTTAAGTGTTAGAGTAATCAGATCTTTGAATTTACTACCATTCAATCAGTTTCGTTGTTCACTTCTTTATTTGTTTACGTATTCTTTTAGTTTGTTTTGATCTATCAGCTGGGATTGAATACGTACATTATAAGAAGTTCAATGCCATTCTGTTTGATATTTGCTTTGACAATATCCCAGTTACGTCTAACGGCCATCTTCTCGCGTTGTGTTAACCCAGTATCTGGATCTGGGATGTCTAAAGCAGGGTTTGAGTTGCCTCCTACCAAAGAACTCAGTAGACTACCCATATCAGGTGTTGGAAGGCTGCCTGAAATTAATAAAATTAATTTACAACATTGACATATTGACTGGTTCTGGTATACAGTAGGTCTGTTTTGGGTTTACTTTTTAATAAGGTTTCACACAAGCTCTTAGTGGGTGAATAATATTTAAATCCACCCAACAGGTGGAAGGGCCATACTGCCCTCATTCGTCTTCACCCATCCTGTGCGCTATCTGTAGGAGTAAAGAAGCGACTCCATACAGAACGCATGCGCAGAGCCATTTTAACACGTGATCGAAAAATATAGGCCTATTCCCAGTTCTCTGTTTGTTTTCTATCAGTTAATGTTTTGTTTCATTCTTCACGTCTTTCAGTACGAACAACAGAACAACTTTTTCGTCAAAGAGGACAAGTAATTTACATAAAAATATAATTATTTGCAGTGCAGTGATTTATTGTGACGAGTACAAGACATGGAATTGTCAGTGCCGATTCAGGAGGAGGACATGGTGACCGTCGCACTGGTAATATCATGCCCTTTGTACTATATTTTAAGCTGATTTCTTCTTCGTTTCTGTTAGGGCAATATATTTAGAATGACATATAGCAAGTAACGACAGCTTCAAGGTGGAGTAAACTCTTATCTCCGACTGTACATGGTCTTATCGTCGGTCTGTATGTATAGTAATATCTCGAGGAAGTTCCTCACGTAACTGAACATTTATTTTTCGTATTTGCATATCCAGCAAAGAATTTTAAAGTTAAAATTTGTGCTGCTTCCTTTCGTCTCTCTCAGCCCATGACTATGCTCACTGCCCTATTTTACCTGTAATTTAACCAGCATTTTCTATGAGTGAAATATTTACTATGAGCAGTGAAACTGTTTATGATGATGTCTGTAGATACGTTGTTGAAGTAGGCCACTGGACGAGTTAATGAAGGCCAATGCAGCTAAAGGACATATAGCGACTATGTTTGTTTGTCATGATATTTATGCTGATTGTAATGCCTCGTTGCAGCACAGACAGGCCTACTAAATGCCACAGTTCTTGGAGTGTGTTACTCTGTCCGTCCACGCGTTTCGTCTCCAGAATTGATTAACGTATTTCGAAAACATTTGGGTTTTTTCTTATTCTACTCCGAAAACTTTGAGCTATTTTGATTCTTGCCCGTATTGGTGTAATGTAAACTTTGCTTTGTATTAAATTCAACATTACTTAAACTCACAAAAATAGACCCATCAAACGAAAGAATGTGGAGATGTCTCAGAATACAGACCATAAATGTACGTAATTAAGATATAGGCTTGCATACGAGTTCTTCTTGAGAAGGTAATCGCTCATCTAGTCAAGAAATTCCCCACCTTTTGTGGGACACAGAGGTTTATTTCCGTGTTTATGACTTTCAACCACTGGTCCCCATCCTAATGGCAGATGGATTCAGTCCATACCCAACACACCCCATTTCTTTAAGATCCGTTTTTATTCTCCTGTCAGTTCTTGGGACTAAAATTTTGAATGATTTCTCATGTCCTGGCCACGTCATCCTCCTTGGTTTGATCGCCCAAATGTTTGGTGGAGAGAATATAAATGATTCAGCTGTTTTGGCGTACTTCAAATCATAAGGCATTCATTCAGTAAGCGTGTACGAGGATTTGCAAGGCTTCAGATACCCCAAGGTCAAAAGCAAGGGCAATAATAAACTGCGTCACGTGGTCTCTCATGTCTTCATTAATACAAATTAAATTCGAAGACCAACATCCAGACGTCCACAGACACACCATCCTTCGCGTCGCAGAAAGTAGGCCTTCTCCAGGAAGCCACCAATTACGAATGCGTTCATTGCGAGCCCTACAAATAACGGGGCACGGTCGGAATGCAACTTGAATTCTGATAAATTCAGGTTCACTCCGTCGTGACTGGGCCCCACTGAATTCAGTTGAATTAACTTCACAACTTCAGACCTTGTCAGTTGTATAAATCTGAGGGTTACACGCGTCTATACGGATAAAAGTTTTACATATCGAAGATTGTCTCCGTCTCTATAATCAGGGATAAAGTGGTGTTAACGCAACGTCGAGCGTGGTCTGTGATGGAACGGATGACCGCTTATTTCGCCCTTGATCGGTTCAAAACAGCAAAGACAGGGCTCCGGAAGTTTTACCCTGATGATGGAGCCATAAGTAGTTGAATTGTAATTCTATACTTATATAGCTGGTAGCCCGATCAGGCTTCGTTGCTTTGATATAATATTAAAATGGTATCTTTTTTGGAGGTATTAAAGTTCTGTGTGCAATTCTCGTGTTAAATGGTCTCCACCAAAAGAAATGAAGAAGTATGCAGATACCCCCATTTCTTCGCCGCGGCGTTGACAGTTCCTTTGTAATAGCATCTTCTTTACAGCATTTCCGCTGCTTGTTTGAAAACCAGTTCAGCAACGTGCACTTGAGTCAACTGAAGTTGAATCCCCCGCAGCGCAAACTCGAACTGCATTCCCCTCGAGTAACCTCTAGTGAATGTTGTGAAATAACGAATCGGTACCACCAATATTTCCAGGCTGACATTGGTGTTTAGTCACAGAAAAATGGCGACAATGTTAAAATAATACTAAAACCAGAACATATGAGGTTCCTTTTAAAAGATTAACTGCAAATAAAATAAATATGCAGGCCACAAGTCGGCCATCATGGATGCTCGCTTAGCAGTATATTGCGAAGAGTAAAGAGTGATAGCTCAGTCAGTATAGTGACTAGCTACGGGCTGGACGACCGGGGCTCGATCCCCGACGGGGACAGAGGATTTTTCCTCTAGCCTCTGCGTCCAGACCGGCTCTGGGGCCCACCCAGCCTCCTCTACAATGGGTACCGGGGTCCTTTCCCGGGGGTAAAGCCGGCCGGGGCGTGATGCTGACCACTCACCCCCATCTAGTGCCGGGGTCAAGGAAGAGAGGAGCTATACCTCCTCTCACCCCAAACGCCTACATAGCGTATAGTGGGACAAACTTTACTTTACTTTAAAGAGGGAGTCCTAATTTTGCGGTTTCAACCAGCCTCCTGTAACGTGATCCCACTTAGATCCAAATGTTCTCAAACACCCTCAGTTTGTGTTCTTTTAATGTGAGAGCTCATTTAATTCAAAATTCTTTTAGATAGCAGACGGAAAGATAAAAAGAGATGCAGTACTGCAGAGGTTCCTCGAATGAATACAGATGGCAGGGCGAATACTTCAGTCTATTTTGTTTAAAACGTTTCTTTATTAATATATTTCATGGGCAACTTACAGGTCTGATTAATGTTTCCTGTGACTGCTAATGTCACACGCCAAAACCGATTAAGGTCGCAAGGCGATTTATCTCGTTCATAACGTGGAATGTGTTAAACTACGTGCATCTTCAGCCAAATACTACCCTCTTCGACAGCTACTTATTTTGTGGGGAGGCTTCATATTTTGATCTTTGTTTTAAAACAAATCATATTTAATATTTGCAAAAATAATCACATTTTTTACTTGAACGTCCTCTTTAGGACAGGAATATGTCTGTCTGAGTGTTCCGATTGCTACGAAGCTAAAGTACATTTTTTTTACAGGTGTCGTGTTCTTCGCTTTTGGAACCAGGTGCATCACGGGAAGATAATATCGATATTAAGGTAAAGAGATCGATCTTATATATTATATTCCTAACATGTCGTGTGTTTCATGACACACGGTGAAACAAGAAATCAAACAAAATACACTCCCCACCCAATGTTCTGCTTGGGGAATAGTCCCTCCGTGATTTGACAGCCCCCGTATGAATGCCCAACGCTGTTCGCTGCCCGTTGGCCTAGTCACGTGTGTGCTAGACGCGATCACGTTCAAGAATATGTTAATCGTGGTTCTTGTTGGTACAAATACTAGTTTTGTTATTTGTGTTTACAAATACATTCGAAACCTTCAGAAATTATCGGAACAAGTTACAATCTACGAACTTTCTGAGTAAAATATGGACTCTCGTGGGGACAGTTAACTGTGACGTCACTGTGGAAAGCAGCAGCTTAGATGTAAAGTGATGTCACATTGCTTTTACTGCCGTGCCATATCAGTGAGTGTGGTAATAGCCTGGATGGGTCATGGGAAATACGTGTTATGAAAATGTTACGTGTCACAGGTAAATAATAATTCTTTTATTTCGTTTCCTTCTCTTATGTTGTAGTTGCAATTATTTAGAAATGTTAAATATATTTGTTGCGCCCGTGTTATTATTACAGTACTTATATTAAATATTGTAAAACGTGTTAAAACAATTAACTTTTCTTCTTTAAGGAAATGGTTTTAATTGTTATTAGAGGTTTCGACCGGACATTGTGTAATCAGCTACAAAATTTGTGAAACAAGCCTTTTCCTTGTATGAAATACGTCATTCAAGCCTTTGAGGTTAGTGTAAAATACATATGGTGTATAAAGCACACAATTGTATCAAATCGTGGTATGTAGTGGTTTATAGTTTATTTAACGACGCTTTCAGTATCTCAGATCGTATAGCGTCGAGGTCTGTTGTGATTCAATTTTTGATGAGGTGAAATTTCATTTCTGCATGACGTGAATTCTGGACCGAGATTCACCACTGATAATCGTCTTACATTTCGAAGTTACATGGCCTATTTGAACAAATAAATGCTGCTATTCAACAGTCGCATATTTATGTATTCTATATTCTATCCGATCAAGTTGCTAAGCGATAATTCTACACTTGAATTCTGAAGGTATCCGGTTCCAGTCTGGACCGCATATTAGTCATCCTGACTGAGGTTCTGTGGTTTCCCTCAATTTCTCCAGACGAGTTTTAGTCTTTCAAATAGGCCTTACCACCTCTTTTCAAATCCTTAACCAATCATTAACTGTTATCTTCCTATCTCATTCGGCGCCATATATTATCTGCAGTCGATACAGTGTCATTAAATAACGTAGAACTTCCCAAATACGTAGCAGAACTGTTGACCATACATCGCGAACTTCAGTAAATAAATCAACAGTTTCTGTGCCACAACCGAGTTATCTCACTTTGAAGCCTTGATCCAGATTTATTTGGTGTTTTATATTTTTGTGATGAAGCAAATATGGTCTGTCATCTGCAAACGATTAAACTAATTGCTGTACTTTTTATTAATAATAAATTGTGTCATAATAGAATTACATTTAACAGAAGGAGACCCCAGCGTTTAAAGGACGAAGGAAAGACAGCTCATCTTAAGTTAAGTCAACTACCAACCACAGAATCCTGTCCCGAGAAAGATGAATCCAATCCACCTCAGCAGAATCTCCTTGCCCCGTCTTAACCGCAACACTGCGTTATGCGCCTCGTCACGATTGCGAGAATCAGCATCGCTTGTGCAAACTTAATACACGCGGATGTATCTCAGCTTGAAACTTTAAGAATACTTGCGTAAGCCGGATTATGTCACTTTGATCTACCTGGTCCTACACTCCACCGCGTTCAGATGGCCAAAGCGTGATAATGATCCGACTGTATTACTAGCCTAATAGAAGTTGTAACTTTCAGGCTTGACATAACAGAGTTCGGTTTCAATTGCAGCTCTGATGTAGGTACAAGTTTTGTTTCTCTGGTCCTCTGTCTAATCCCCAAATATAAGTAATTAGGGCTGAGATAACTTAACTCTGGTCCATGTACAGAAGGGAAGAAGCCACTCGGTAAACTTAGATGCAGATGTAAATATATTTGTAAAACGAATTTTGAAGATGCGGGTGTGGATTGGATTAATCTGGCTTTGGATTGGGACCAGTGGCGGCCTGATGTTAACACAATAATAAGCCTTCGGATTCTTAAAAGGTGGTTAGTTTCTTGAACAGATGACCGACTGTTGGCATTGCAAAGTCCGACAGACGATGACTTTACATTCCTTCTTGAGAGGCTGACAGTCTCTCAGCTAGTTAATAAATTTCCCGCAATTTACGGAACCTGGCGATTCAAAATCGTGTTCATAACAAAACCGCGACTGGTGTCGACCCCGATCCTAATTAGTTACATGTTTGAAAGAATGGCATTTTAACCATTTTCAATCGGTCATCCAAATACTTCTTGTGTCTTAAAATAAATTACTACACTGTTTTTAAAATGTTCCTTGTTCACTGACATTTGTAGGATTTGAGGTTGTGAGCCATCACATAACTTATTTTAACACTCGAGGCTTCTAATACAGCGAAAATAAAACACCATTGCACTGTGCTACGTCACTGCATTCATTTGACTCTTACTTATTTTATTTATCAATCATTAATACTAGAAACAACTTACCTCCGTTAAAAATTAAGCGACTTCCAGATCACAGCCACACGGTTAAAACGTCTCTCTCCCAAAAGGACACAAATTTAAAAAAAAGAATTCTGTTTGCTTCTGAATTGTAACCAAACAATTGTGTTTCTTATCCGCGTAACATTCTACGTAACCACGAAATTTTCTTTGATACGTCTGTGCGCGCTATTGCAATATACAACGTCATGTAAACTTGCTGGCAGCCACCCTCTGCGTGAGTCCAGAGCCGTCTAAACAGCTGAAGGAGCGTCACACTCGCTCCTTTCCTAGTGACGCTGCCCACTGCTCGTAAAGCGACTTCGTATCACTCATATTTCAACACAGTGACGATCGCTGATGCGTTTCACGAATTTGCTTCCAACTTCATTAATATTTAGTGGGAGTTGTTTCCGATTTAAGCAATTCTCAAACCGGTCTGCGTCTTTGTTTGGAGCAAGGAGACAATAAGGAATCAATAACAAATATCACGTGTTCTCAAAGAGTCCAATATATTCAATGCATGTATGTTTTTTTGCTGGCGAAGGTCAGCTTTTAAATCTGAAGCATTACTTTCATCTAAACAACGTATACAGATGAATTTCCGAACTCAAATAAGACTCAACTCATCTGGATTATAGAGATAAAATGGTTGATGATGTTTGGGAAATAATCGCTGTTTATTGAATAAAAATTTTCTTGGATATTATCCATTGTCTAGTAAATATAAAACGTAAAACGACGTTTCGGAGATGGGACTCTATCTCCGTCTTCAGGTTCCTACACAGTTGGGCCCACTAGATAGAGCTAATCCCTATCTCCGGGCCCAACTGTGTAGGAACCTGAAGACGGAGATAGAGTCCCATCTCCGAAACGTGGTTTTTTACGTTTTATATTTACTAGACGATGGATAATATCCAAGAAAATTTTTATTCAATTGACTCTTCACCATCGTCAAGAAGTTTTAGATTTGATAATCGCTGTTTAGTCTGATAATCATATGAAACTTGTAAATACATTTTGTGGGAAAAATTTCAGAGTTATTTAATGTTAAAACAAGTGGTACATTTAGTTACCTGTTAAAGGGTTCATTAGGATTTGTATTATTCAGCAGATATTACGTGGTATCACAGCGGTAATGTACAGTATCATTTTCCAAAAGCGTAAAATTTAATTAGCGGTGAAGAATTCTAAATGCTTTATGCGAGATCTATCACATTTTTCTCTTTCATAGGTTTCAAGTGTCCACGTTTTTTATTAGCTGAGCCATCTGTTCGTTCACTTAGGCCCGTACTGCACGTACCGACTGGTCTGTATGTAAAATAAATAAACGTCAAAGCCAGTTGTGTTTGCAGAATCACAAAAACGATGCTGTAAAGTGCGTTCGCGCTATTTGAAAACAACGTTCCTCTTTTGTTTTAATATAAAGGGACATGACACTTTCTATTGATCGTACTAGGAACTTTAACACTGCGTGTCTTCTCAGTTATTGTCCTTGATAGACCCTGGGAATCGATCCACGGTGTTATCGAATTCAGGCTGAGACATTGGTGCATGTGTGATTGCGAGAAGTTTCACTTCACTGCTGTGTTGCAAAATCCCACACTTAGACAAGTAGCCTTTCTGTGCGTAAGGAATTGTTCTTCAAGCCTTCGTTCCTTTGTTCGGTCTAACTTCAGACAGAAAATAAGTTTAAATCAAAGTTCGTATACTTTGGCTGAAGTGAGACCTGATTCGTTCGGCGTTCCTTGAACAAAATACACGAGATTAATCCACATTAGAAGCCTCTTCTTTGTTATCTCCTACTAGCTGCTGAATACATTTTGATGGACTTCACGTTTAGGGTCTGCCCTAAAGTTGTTGGCGAAATTTGGTTTAGTTTCTATCGGTCCGAGGAGTAGATGAAATATAATATGAAATGGAACTTTGGGACCGGGAGGGTATGGACTGGATTCTTCTCACTCAGGATGGGATCCAGTGGCATGATAATAAACCTTTTTGTTCCATAAAGGGCGAGGAATGTCTTGACCAGCTGAGATATTGTGAGTTTCTCAAGAAGGACTGTGTTCCATTGCAATTAAATGTATTAAGCTGGACAACGAATATTGGGCTCTGACATCGTGCCGTAATCACTTTTAAATCTTAAGTGACGGCAGTTTGAATTTTTGGGACTTACAGAGTTTTACGTTTGGGAGGTCTCCAAAATTCTTCAGTCTTCATATTCTTGTGGCCTTACGCGAATGTAAGCTATGAATATGTTTTTGTTGCTGGAGTTGGTTAGGTTTGCAACGTCCCCATTCTTTTGTTCTGAGGCGCATTATCAACCAACCTTGTCACTCACCGTCAGTTTGTCAGTGGCTTTTCATTCCCCCAGTCTCTTTTGTCCGATTAGTCGATCTTTCAGTTTCCAGAGCAATTGCCCAGTTGACTGTTCGATTGTTCTTGTAACGAATTATCGATATTTCACTCACTGGTTCAGTTGTCCTTGAGTTTCCCATTTCGGAGTAAAGGAAGTTTTAAACGTGTTCGTCGCGGTCCTAAAACTCTACAATTCGTCGGTCCCAGGGTGCGGTGACGTAAGTTCGGAAAATTCAGGAAAAGAAAACCATGTTTCGGAAATTCCTCAAAAATCATGTTTATTTGTTTATTTTTTAAGAAATATACAATACAATTATGGGCATGAATCTGAAGATGTATTGCTACTATTTCTAAATTACAGGAATGTAAAATACAATAAAAGTCACTAATTCGGACCCTTCATAATTTTGACTGCCTTCCTTCATGTACGTTAAAGTCAAGTGAATTTATCTCGTCACATGCCAATGTTGGCACTAGAAGGGGGCGAGTGGTCAGCATCACGCCCCGGCCGGCTTTACCCCCGGGAAAGGACCCCGGTACCCATTGGATAGGAGGCTGGGTGGGCCCCAGAATCGGTTTGGACGCAGAGGCTAGAGGAAAGTCCTCTGTCTCTGTCGGGGATTGACATTCGCAGGCCTACATTTTATTTACGCATACCGGAGATTCTTCCTAAATTTTGCTTTAAATACATTTTTATAAGATTTTCAGTATTTTTTTTCATATGTATGTAGTAATACCATTCAATATAACGTATGTTACTGGGCTATGGTTAAATGTCCTTGTTTTTATGTTACATAATTCGGGCTACTGCAGACTGCCCTCCCTCCTACCCGCCCGCTCGCCGTAAGTTTCTATTCCAGGATTTGCCTAAGGGGCTGAAGAAGACAGCCAGAAACCTCATCTAATTACGACATAAAATGTTAAAATTTATTGCGTTTCTGTCCTGCTCTCGTCCTCATGCTTTACTCGCGTAGCGAATTATTACCATGAACATACACACGGCAGTGATGTATCTGCAATGCGCTGGCTGCCATGTGCAAGTCATACATGACCTCTCCGACATCTGTTGAGAAGCCCTGACTGTGCTCGGGTCAGGTAGTTCGAATTTCAGAGCGGGATTGTCGATATGATCGTTAATAATCGAAATTCGCACAATTATGAGTGTCCCTTGCGTGTTATGAGAGCTTGATTATTGACGCTGGAATCACAGATTAAAGAACGACACACTCGTTCTTAGGGAGACACAGTGGTCGCTTTTGTGAACTCGGTAAAGAACCGGTGACTTCTTTTTGTAATTTCTTTGTTTGCTGGGCGAACTATTGACTCCTTCGACAGGGACTCCACTTCATGGAATTTGTTTACATTAAAGGTTATACGAAATTACTTTTAATGTTCAAACAGAAGTTTGCCTCATCAACAGCTCAACTTAGTGAGGTGGCGGTCTACGTGCTGAACGGCCGGAGTTCGATTCTCGGTAGGTGTATGTAAGAACCTCTTGCGAGTCTAATGCAGAAGTAAATGATATTCATTCATTTGCATAATAGGCAGTCATTTGTGTTAGTAATTTCCTTAAGTTACTGACTGTCATAAAACAATGAAATATTTTATGGCAGGTGAAAACGTGCATTTGTTCCCGCGGTTAAGGAGCAGATGCTAACCACTCAACCGCGAATCTCGGCGGACTGGTGCTTTGGAAGCTGTGTCATTCCTATGTTCGTATTTAAAAGCGATATATTTTTATTTTAGCCTTGTTTATGTGAACCCGTTGGCTTGTTTAATTACAAATTGTGAGTTTTTTTTATTATGCTTGCCGTGTGGTTTGTATGTCATTTCATTAAGAATTTACTGCACTGCAAATCAATGTTTTGTGTTAGCGGTCGCCCTCGGGTAAGCGTGGAGAGTCTGCCGATACGGTCCGTACAGGCGAAAACGATGACAAATACGACGCACGGATCATGAACTAGAAAGGAAAACGTGTTTTTTTTTTAAAAAAAATATCTTATTTGAACTAGAAAGGAAAACGTGTTTTTTTTAAAAAAATATCTTATTATCTGTGGCATCTATCAGGTTCGAACTCGAATCACTGATAATTAAATTGTCGGGGTTGTTTTCTTTTCAAAGTGACCCGGGTTCGATCCTGACCGCTAATACTTGTATCGAAAATAAAAAAGGTCAGTGTATTGACAAGTCACCTGAAGATGACAGAAGAGTCAACTCCCAAAACACTCAAATACACCTTGGATAATTAACCAATGTCCAACAACGGCGTAATAAATGAGTCATTGGCAAATGCCTTTAGAATAAGAACTGCCACCTTTTAAATTTGTCACACGACACTTTCATACTACTTCACGCTAGCTACGTCACTCGTCTTCAGTCCTTCGAATATGACCTGGTACGCAACATCTATCGTTTTGCTCCACGCGGCTTCTGCTTGAGACGTCAGCTTCTTTCCAAGTTTCTGTTTCAATAGCTTCATCAGCACCACTTTCAGGTCCTGTAGAATTAAATATACGATATAAAGAACGGAATTAATTTGTCTCATTACTTAAATGATGACAATTAACCTTCAGTATTTACGCAGCTGTTCTTAAAATAGTCACATCAAATTTGTATAGAGACTGGACAGTTGTTTCTAAACGGCCACACATGTTTAACAGATTTCAGCCCAATCTAATGTTTTCTTACATGCAAATACAGGATTTCGTGCAATAAATCTTTATTTGCAAATTTTATAACCTCACTTTTATACTGATGTTATCAGGACGAGCGGGTAAAGCCTGTTCTGCAAAGTGATGTTCTTTCTCCCCTCGAAGGAACGTGTCACTCAGTCCCCCTCCTACCCAATTTCTCTTTTCACCTTTTCGCCCGCTGTTTTCTCTCGAATTTCTCTCGTACAAACACGCAAACATGGAACGGCCTTTTCTAAATAGAGCTCGTTTTAGGCAGGAACGTCACTGACTACACACAACAACAATTCAAAGAAACCAACAAAATGACTGACTACTTCATGGAACTGGTGGGATTCGTCCAACCCATCGAGACCCGTTCAGCAATTTCGGAGACACGACATGGCGGCAGAGAGCACCTGTTTCACCGCCTCATTCTGAGTTCATTTTACGCAATTCTTTGCAGAGAGATCAAAACAATGAAAACAGGCCAAAACGAAAAACCGCTAATTGTGTGTCAGGATGGAGTCAACTGTCTGTCAACTCACATTAAATTCTTTCTCGCTGACACCGTGACGATCGTGGTTCTGTCCCAACTTGATGAGGAGCTCCGTCAGGCACTCCGGGTCCTCAAGGTTGTCGATCACGCTCGTCAGCGAATACATGACGTTCGTAGCGTGAGCAGACAATTTCGCGCTCTTCTCGAGTTCTTGCAGGGATAGACTCTCGAAAACCCGGAACAGTTTCTGATACTCGGGGTGAGCTTCGAAGAGCCTGTATCATAACAACAACAACAACAACATTCGTATTAACATGCAAAAAACCTGACGTCACAATTCAAGACATTGAAGGATCATGTTTTGAACCCAAACTTTTGACCAGCTGAAGACTGCTGTCTTCAGGGTAGTTGCACCGTGTTACAGAAAACATGAATTACTGCGTGGCAACTTCGTCGCAAATAGTTAAGATTTTTTCTGTCGATGACAGGATCATTAATGAATACTGAATTAGAAATTGTGTGGAAGGAAGAAGGCTTGGACTAATTTAAGGTACTTTTCCAAAATTCGTCTGGGGGGGGACTGAAGAAAACGATTATATAAAAATTCAGCTTTCGGATATGCCTCAGGATAGGCGATCTCCCGAGTGCAAAGCAGGTGTGCTAGCCATGCACTGATGTTGAACTGACTGTATAAAGAGTTCCACGCCGGCTCGCTTGGCATCCTGCTTCATGATGGCCCACGTATCGACCACGGCCTGCCGCTCCCTTGGGGTGAGTCCCGTCGTTGGGTGAGGAATGTCCAGTTCAGGATCATCGTTCGGTTCTCTCCCCCAGAAGTAAGTCAGCACACTGCCCATTCCCTTCGCCCTGCAGAAAGAAAATCAAAAACTGAACGATCTGAAATGCTTCCGAGGCAAAATAATTTTAGACACAAACCGAGTCTGGCATTTAAGGTCCTCAAGGCGGTGAGTATAAAAATGGCAGTCTTCTGGGTTGTAGCGTCGTGCAGTCTGGTAAGAGTTTATCATCACCCTCTGAAGCTAAAATACAGCTTCTTCCTTGTCCATATGCATCAGGCATCTAGAACACTGTCGTGTAGTCTGGTAAGAGTTTATCATCACCCTCTGAAGCTAAAATACAGCTTCTTCCTTGTCCATATGCATCAGGCATCTAGAACACTTGTAGTGGCCTCAAAATTGTCTTTTGGCGCCTCATTTCTCCTCCTACCGCCCTCGGCCACCTAGTGAACCCCGACATCTGTGTGATCCTTCTGCATGTTTCTGTATTAAGTGCGTACCTGCAGTCGCTCCGATTGTGTTGTGAACCTTCCGAGCACCGATATTTTACCTAAGAAGCAGCATCCTTTTTAAACGAGTCACTCAATCAAGTCTCAATAAAACAGTTACTTGAATGCCGCGTGCATATTGTGAGCAAAACTTTTCTATCAAACGGGGTCAATTTGTGTAACAAATATATATTATACACATACATATTTATATTTCTACGATCCGTTCTAGTGATTAGGTAGGGAAAATATCAAAGATCTTGTGCTCTGTTTGCTAAGTTTCTCATTTAAATTTTTCTATGTTTCCGCCGATGAAGAAACTCGATGTCTGGATGAGGCTCAAAACTTAATGATTGGTCCGCTGTGGTCTGACCTTACCAGACGAAGTGTCCGAGGAGTGACTGAAGAAGAGTGATCAAAGACTTAAAGCCTTAGAGTTGAAGGCGGTAAATTCCGCCGAAATATTTCTATCTACCTGGAGGGCCAGAAGGCATTTCTAACCAGAAGCCCAACATCGTCTTCACCTGCTTGAAAACTTCAAATATCACTGGAATATAGTTTTATGAAACATCGCAAAGTAATGAAGAAATCAGCTGACGCGGTGAAGCGTCTGTCTTGTAATACTGAGGAACCCCGTTTCGAATCTGTATCGGCGCACGTCTTGACAGAATGTGTCTTGCAGTTACTCCAAGTCAGAGCAGGAATAATACCTAGAAACAGGCCACGATGGCTTCTGCTCATTTTCTATCCAGATGACCACCACACATGGCCGTCCTCTGCTCTTGTTCGTCTGTACGTATCGTCTCTTAACGTGAAGTGAACGCATCCCCGGTTACGTAACATTACGTAGTACAGTTGTGGGACGTTGCGACATGAAACCACGAGAAACACGACTCAGATTGCGTCATGTTACTTGTCACTTCAACTGATATAATTTGTGGAATGTTATTGACTTTATTTCTCTGTGGGATTTGGGGTTTTTACAGCGGCGAGTCTGAAGATGGCTGTCCTCTTGCCATATTTTGTGTAATGTGTCACATTCATAAGATGGAAATAATAAGTAATGAGGCCAATGGCATATAAAGTTAAGTTTAATTTAATGAGGGCTGATTAAGTGAGAAAAAAATAGTTTAATGGACTTCAAAATCTAACATGAATGCACTTAAATCCATTTTATTGTATATACCGACATATAAGGAGTATATGTAAACATACGTTACACTTTCGTGTACCTAGAGGCCAGTATATTTATAAATGAGCCGGGCAGTACGATAAGTACTGAGTTACAGACAGTAAAAATGACCCATTTGTTCATGTTCGCCTTGTATTTTACATTTTTCAATGATGAAAATTACAGTTATCATAAAGTATCAATGGATAGCAACATAATTAATATTCGCGCATATTAGCAATGACAAAAATGTTTAAAGCAGAAGTAGCTGATGTTCCTGAGCAAAACATCTAGTCCGTACCACGGAAAGGATTCATATAAATTACTAATTATTGAATAAAAATTATAGAGTAAACAAATGTAAACTCCGTGTGACAAGTTCTTTATATGCTCAATATATCGATTTTACTTACGTGTCTTCAAGGTCGATATAGGAAAATAAGAACGATAGTCTGAATCCGTCACTGCACTCGGAGGACTCTGGTAGGAGTGAAGCTGCCCAAGGCTGTTGAGCAATGCTGTCTGAACTATTCCTTATGTGACACGTGTTGCACCATTGTTATTACATATTAAGTCAGGCGAGATTTTAATCAGGTAGATTCGTTTATGCAGCGCAGTAACCGGACACTCCACTGGACGCACTGAACGACGTCAATCACGCAGCTTACTTAAATGGTCGTCAATTTAAGATTCGCCAGTTGTCTCTCTCTCTCTCTCTCTCTTTCTCTTCCCTCCTGCTCGTCAGTTTTCCTCCAGTGCCTTGCTTCATTGCTATTCCCAAGCGTTCTTGGCACCCGAACGCACGTTCACCCATCGTTCTTTACTTTTCTCAGGAACTTGATAACATTGTGTGAAATTATCTTGCAGATGGCTCCTATGGGCTAAACACACAGCTGACATTTTCATTTGAAATAAAACATATGGAACATAATCACATTCCTTTCAACATGTCTTGACACAAACTGCAACACTGACAGACTCTGGCAAAAGCCAAGGAAAATGTAGTACACCCCTGGGATTCTCAGAATGAATTCATCCCTAGCTGGAATTTGTCTTCACCAAGGACAGAATGAACAACACTGACAAGTGGTTAACACTCCTGCTTCATATTCGGGAGGTCCAGGTTCAAATCCTTCTCTGGAAACCGTCCATCCCAACTGAGCGTTTTCGTCATTTGAAGATACTATCCTGGCATTTGTCTGGAGAGACTGAGGCAAGCCACAAAGATCCACAGTCGGGATAGCCGGTCTCAGTGCCAAAATTTGAACCTGCGACCTTCAAAACACGAAGCAGGTGTTCATTCCTTTGTCTCTGAAAATGGGAATCAGGCACCGATCATTGTCTTTTTAACATTCTCTGCCTTATGACATTTTTGTCATGTATTTGAGTCCCTCTTCCCTATTTCCTTCATCTCATATCTCTCAATGTTGGAATTTTATTGTCATAATACACTTCAAAGCCTAAGCAAGAGAAAAGCAACCCCAACTTCAATAGAAACAAAGAAAAAAGAACTAAGAAAGATTTGAGGTTTTCAATGTGGTCAAAATGTGGACTGTAATCTTCTGAACCATTCTGTCGAGAAGTCTGATCATAACCCATCCACTTACCTTACGTTCCTTTTAAACATACATGTAAAGAGAAGAGAGAGAGTGAGGAACGAAAGGATTAGAGAAATCATGAGGATGGATCGAGATATAATTGAGGAGATGGAGAAGAGACAACTGATTTGGTACGGACATGTGCAAAGGATGGAGGAGGAAAGGTTACCAAAGAAGACTATGAAATGGCAAACGGAAGAGAGACGGAAGAGAGGGAGGCTGAGACCAGGATGGAATGATGGAATTATAAGAATCATGATAGAGTGGAAACTACCTCCGGAAGGATGGGAAAATAGAGAAGAATGGAAGAAAATATTAGGCACCGGAAGAAACTGAAGAAGAAGAAGAATGTAAAAATACTATTATAATTTTAGAACATGAAAACACTTTGTTTCTGATTGTATGTTTGCAACTATTTCAGAACAATGATAATGTGACATAACATAAAAGAATCTTTGAATTATAAAGAATGCCATCTATTATTTGTAAGTTATAACATAATTTGGGATAACTGAGCTACTAGATGGGGCAGTCAGTTGGAAAACTGCAAGGATAAGCAGCAGTTTTAAATTGTACGATACAGTTGTTTCATGAATTTGGAATATAACACTGAAGTAAAAAAACTGTCTCTTCTTTATGTAAGTATTATTTGTTGTTACCTGTTCATTTGAACACATCTTATGTGCAACATGCATAACATTATGCTTCCTGCAGTTCTTGAGAGCGTGCATAACAGAGGTGCCAACTGACTAATTTACAATTTTTAGGTAAATAATAAAATTTTATTTCTGTCTTTTTTCTGTGCTACATAAGTTTTGAGAAAAAAAAATGCATGTTATTCATATCACTCTAGGATTACAATATCTAATATAATTTATTTTGAGGTGTGCATTATGGCAATTTTCATTTACATAAAGTTTAAAACATAACCAATGTATTTGTTATTGTCATATAATAATTTATTTGAGCTAAAGGTTTTGCTTTATAGATATTATTTCCTTAAATGATGAAGTCAGAAGGTTCTGTATTATAAATCGTGTGCATGATTTTTCTCCAAATGTTAGGAATGTATACACTTACATTTTCTTATTCTGACATAGTTTTAATGTGCATCTTCTCTGGTGTTAAACATGTAAGCACCATCTTATAGGCAGTATTAACATGATAAAAATCATAAACTTGTCAACAAATATAATATAATTACACAATTTTTCTCATTCAATCAAACAAGAACTTTGTATCTTGGGATAATAATGTCAAGATGCATATTTGTTATAGCATAGGTTAATACAGTATTTTCATTGTAAGATCCCCTAAATAATAAATTCGCCACTAGTCAATACATTTCACCTCAACTAAATATGTTCTGTAAGAACTATTATCTTATAGCAGAGGTCCTCAACCTTTACCAGACTTTGGGCCACACTTGCCTCTCTTAATCAACTCACAGCCTGCAATGAGGTAATTTATTAAAAATGCTACTCAATTAGGCCTACTAACAGGTTCAGATGTTACTCAATAATTTTCTTTAACAAAATCAGTTATTAGTGACACTGCTTCTCCTTGATCACTTCAATATCAGGTTTTAATTTCTGTTGTCGTTATTCACATGCTTTCTTCCACGATATCAACAGTAAGATATGTCCTTGTTCTTAATTTGATATTCTGGTACTTGTGGGTTATTGGGACACACCGCTTTAAAAATACTTGTCATTTATTGAAATAAAATATAATAACTTTCAAGTATATGTCATTCATCCACACACACATTAACCTAACCTAACCTAACCTAACCTAACCTAACGTATTTTTAAAGTGATGAGTCCCGATAACCCACAAGTACCGATATTCCTAAATAGGCCTGCCTTAAAGTAAGTAATACCTGGAAGTCACTTTCATTCCACACAGCTTAAACCTGGAGCCAGTTGTACACTGTTTAATCGTTAGCAATACCTCATAACCTATAAATTGTTCTGCACTAATAAATAAAAACCATACATAAATTATTAAACAGTGTTTATGGAATGTCAAAATATTTTAAACAGTTTCTAACATTTCTTTGGTTCCTGTTTTATCTAGCAGCTAAACTAGAAATGTGAAATGGGAAGTGTTGCTGTTTTTTTTAAAAAAAAAGAGATTAGTTTGTTGGCAGCAGTGTCATGCCATTGTATTATCACGTCAAGCATCAAACATAGGTTCCCAAGCTTAAGATATTTAAGATGCATCAATGAACAATAATGGAACTAATAAATTAATATTAATATAAATATAAAATATGCTCTATATACAGAGGGTCCCATGAAGTTGTAACTCGCCTACTAGCATGCAGTAGTCACGTTCTGCATTGATTATGTCTGCTTGCTGTTGCTGCGACATGTAGTTGTGGTGTGTTTCACATTAAGTGGGACAAAATGTGTATCAGCTTCCTATCTAATGGGTACCAGGACCATCTGTAAAGCAGCTGGGGTGTGAATGTGACCACACATTTCTATCTAGTCCCCCCCCCACCCCCACCCCCTACACCTCCATGACATGGTACACAAGACAACTTCATCTTTATCTTTAGATTAATGTATGAAAACAGCAAATTGTATATTCACCCAACAGAGACCAGACTAAATAGTCTGATAAATAAATATAGTATTCTAAACCAACAATATTTTTGTGTAAAATGATTGTAAGAAGATTGTCAGGTATAAAATTAAGCAAAATATATTTTCTATAAGTTGTTGTTAATAACTTAATCATGTTCTATTTGACTTTTCCAATGAAAAAGTCAGAACTATATAAAAACCAACCACTTTCCATGCTAGATGACCTCTCCAGCTGATAATATATTGTATAGACATAAAATTACTAAAAAAAATGTGCCTTTATAAATATTATTTGAGCCAAGCACCATATGACATGTTTATAGTATAACCCACACCTTACTTTGCAAATAAAAATGGTACATTTTTCTGAACTCAACTTCTTTAATGTTTTTGTTCATGTTCCTGAATTAAATCTGACAAGATATCAGCCATCTTATCGCTGTGACGTAAAACAAAGGCATGATCAATTTGATTTTCACATAACACACATTTTAGATCTGGATGATTTTGTGCAATATCTTTCCAATACTTCAATGGCACCCAGCCATCTGTAGTACCATAATACAAATATAACAGATCATTGACTTCTCTCAAACTCTGATCATCTAGTTCTTTAACTTCCTCCATTTCATCCAGTGCAAGGAACAAAATATTTTCCAACACAGTAGGGTTCATCAGTTGCATTGTTGTAGACACATGATAAGTTGGCATGCTTCTCAACATGAAATGCATAGCAAGTAAGAATTTCTTTACAAAAACTGGAAGAAAGGTGAAGACCCAAACCAAGAATATCATAACTGGCACTAAATGCTTTATAACACCTGTCAGAAGTTTCCCATTTGGTGACTCTGCCATACGTTCTATTGTTGGAAACAAGAGATATGCTTTCATGACTCTGGATCTTGTATCATCATTCTTAAGAACTTCTAATATCATCTTAGCACCAATGGAATGTCCTATAAGGATTATCTTCACATCCTGTGGAACGTATTTCTCAATAAATGCTAATTTATGTTCGACCTGACCTTTCAAATTGTAGAGCTCTGGATTTTGTCGTAAAGGTGGTAGGCTGTTTATAGCTGTTGGTGGCAACACGTGGCCAGCGAGAGAAACAGCCCACACTGGAACACCAAGACGAGACTGTAACCTTGTTAAAAATGTAGTGTAATAACCAGCCAATCCAGGATTGCCAGTAATAAGTAACACAATTTCCTTATGATCTGCATTTAGCGCATCTTCAATCCAGCCTCCCCAAGTGATGACATGAGTTGAGAGACCATTTACGTTCACAAAACCCTCTCTCATTTTACCAGACATGGTTCATAACCAGTGAAGAATTAGACTTGATAGAACTGAATATAAAATAACCCAGTATGTTTGACAACTACAGCCGAGTACTGGTATTGACGTGCAACTGCTGACTTGCAGCTAACATCAGCGGTTAGCACATCCATGACCAGCGTTCTTGCAGTGGTCGATGCCCCCTTTTTTGTGACTACGTAAAACGAAACGTGACACGATTATCGCAATATTGAAGTAGTTTCATATTTCACCAGTAGATGGTAGGACGGGTCGGTCTCGTAGTTACATCGTAGATGGCAGCTGCAGTCAGGAACCCAGCTATTTCTTATATTTGCCTGGCAAAAACTAAGGCAGTACTCACAATACAGCTCTAGACTTGTTTCACAACATTGCGTGAGGATCTGCTACATTCTGCGTGTGCGTACTTCGTGGTAGTGGTCGGAGTACGAAGACGTAGACGAACAAACTTCTGAAAGGAAAAGTTATTTTTAAATAAAACCTAAGGTATTTAACAACGCCTACGCTTTAAGAAATGGTCACTTTTCTCATGAACCCTGTTGTCTTCGAGAAAGTGGTCTTCAAATATTAAACGTCGCTTTTCGAGTAAATGTCCCCATGCTAAGTGAGTCCCTTATTACAACTGAATGTAGCGGCGTAAACAGATGGGCTGGGGATCCCCGATCTCCAGTAGCGTAAGTTAATTAAAGATACGTTGCGTTAGAAGAGGAAAGGTTTCCCCCAAGTTCAAGCTCGCCACCCAGACAGCGAAACTTACAAGCAGTTCAGAATATTATTAATTAATCACCTAAGTAGGTATCACGAATCGAAAAACATAAAGTATCTATTGAATTTACGTAAATGGAGGGAAACTGAAGAGAATATAAAATGTGAAATAATATAGCTTCAAGCCTCGGTCGCTTTATCCCCGGGGAAAGGTCCCGCCCTCTAATCAAGCTACCAGCGATTAATCTCGTGGATTTTGCTGACTGCCTCTCGATACGAGCGAGTGAAAAATCACGGGCTATATTTTCAGTAGTTGAGTACTGGTGCTGGGATTGCTTACGCAGATCAAATTGGGTAAAACGTCTTACTACAAAGGCGCTTTGTCAATGTCGCCAGCATCTGGCAGTTTCTAACCTGTACTTTTTAATAAAGAACGCCTGATAGCAAGAACAGAAATTATACCTGAGACTTATCAACCAAAACCGATGGCAAATATTCTAATAACGACACATTTTGTTAGGGAAAATTATTGAGTAATAGTCCTAAGTAAATCTGAACGTGTTTACGACAGTAGGCCTAATTTATCAGCACTTTTAATAAACGAATCTCATACATATTTGCTATAAGCGAGTTGATAAGCAACAGTGAATGCGACGCCAGGTTTTGGAAGAAAATTGAGAACCCCTGATTTGCAACTTGTACGGATTCTTTGGAACGAATGAGAAGCTTCATAGTTTCCACACTTTCCCTAACATTATTAGGGTGATAGAATCAAAGAGGATTGCGTGGGACAAATCGCGCGCGTGGAGAAGATAGGAGGATAATATTACTAAAAAGTGTGAGGGCTTGGAATAAATTCATCTGGCTCAGGACAGTCTTCAACCGCCCGCCAGTTCCTATAAAATGAGGTGATTTTATTAATCAGCTGAGCGACTGTTAGCTTCTCAAGAAGGACTCTTCAACATGAAATAATTTATAATGACAATCTTATGAACGCAGGCATTGAAACCTTGTTCATGTGTTGTTAAAATTATACATTAAAGGACTCGCTGTTATTCTCAAACCCCCACCACCAATACCCTTCAATCTAGCTGAAGTGACGTAAGACATGTTATTATCACTTTCACGGAGATTCAAGGTCTGTGCCTAGTTCGATCGTAGACCGATTGAGGTCGGGCAAGTCGCTATATTTACTTCCTAGATGACAGCCTTGGCCGTTGTGCCAGACAACCCCCCGCCCCTCCCTTGCCAGTTTCTAAATACATTAATTCCGATATGTACTTTAAATAATAAACGATTTCTTGCATCTTCAATTCCAGGAGTCAGTGCCTTTATTAGAATGTTACAGGTGGAATTAAAGGTTCTTTCTTCTAAGATTGGAATTCAGGATAGAACAATTAAATCGTTTGGAAAAGTTCAATGCTGACCTAGCAAAACGTGTGAAAGTCATATTACACATTCATTTCACACAAATATAACTTCCATTGTATGCAAAGACGACCATTGATTAACATTATCGTTTACTGATATGCCGCGCTGTTTTTCATCTGGAAATTAACAGCAGTAGCAGAATCTCTAATGCCAAAGACCGCCACTGACTACGATCTTGAGCCAGTTCTATCCACCCCTCGCCTCAACAACCCATTTCCTTGAGGCTTATTTTAGTGTAGTCGTCGTCCCATCTTTTAAGACGGAAGCAGAAACTTATCTTTATCGATTGGCAAATTATAACGCACCGAACACGCGTAAGAAACTGATAGAAGGTAAAAACTGTTCCCACATTTTTATCTCTCTGCACATTTGCTCGACTTATCCATTCCGGTACAATACGCGTTTCCTAATCTGTCTCACTTATCTCTTATTATGAATGAGCACTCAATTCGGTTTGTATAAAGCACACGAGTTTTTTTAGACATTATCTACAATCGCGGAAAGTAATTCAACTGTCTGAACAATCGACAATCAAGCCAACAATGAAGTCCGGAAACAGATGATTTCCGTCTGTGTGATTGCTGTCCATTTGTGTGCCATGGACTGTTTTATGTGTATATATATATATATATATATATATATATATAATCTACTTATGTACGCATTGTGTTATGATGTTAATGAAGAGAGATTCTGACATCTACTTTTTGAGTTAATCGATTGTTCTGTCCCCAGTTTCATATTTGTTTCTGACATCACTTCAATACGTGAAGTTATATTAAGTTTAAACAAAAAACTGTCGAAGAGAGTTTCTTTCCTGGGGAATTTGCTATAGGAAACAAACTAATATATAAAAATGAGTCTTATTGGACGTTGGACCGTATAGTCTGCTAGATGTTTACCTGATGATGGAGGCAGCAAGGACCTCTGAAACTTCTACCAGACCACACGACGCAACATTCATCTTCAGAATCATAGTTGTGAAATTATTAGATCGTGTGTGGAAGAATTTAGGTGAATATAAAATTTGATATCAATGTTTGATCTGCTTTAAGTTTTGATAGTCACGTAGAAATCGAATCGATTTTAAACTCGTTGACTATTAAACCGTCGGTGGTGTTCAATGCTACCAACTTTATTAGGCCAGCAGAAAACGTAATAAAATGAACGAAAGTTTGATCGAATGATCAGACAAACAGTAAAAATAACTGGCCTCAAACTCCTGGAAGAATTTCTGTAATGGGTTTCAGAATAATTGTAGGGAGAATATCGAGAGAAGACTGAGGTGGGAGACGGTAGGAAGACGCGAGGTCAAGGTCGTAGAGAAGAATGGGGCAGTGATCGCGAAAGGAGACAGATGAGAGGGTTCTCTCCGTTCTGTTCTTCTTATTGTCGAGAAATTCCTTACCCTCCCTCCCCTCTCCCCTTATTGCTTTTCCGGTATCCGATCTGCTCAGTCCCTCCTCACAAACAAGATAGGTAAATAAATAGTTTCCACGTAAAATTTGAAGACTGCCTAATCTTATCCCCGTTTCTATACTCCGTTGACCTCATGAACACCTGTAGTGGCCCCTCCAGATAATTCCCGCTTCAGTTAAACCGGCGTCTGCTTTATATTCTAATGATTCTTCATCGCCTGGCGAGGGCTTTGTGTAATCCATTGTAGTCGAGGTTCGCCTAAATAATATTTTAACAACTCAGACCGTACCGCAAAGAGAACACTACGAACATCAGTTTGAAGGAAATAATATTTTAGTAGGACTTCAGGTTCTCACGGCGGTGAGTACGAAGAAGGCTGTTTTTTTTTGAGTCGTGGCGCTGTGTAGTTTATAAGAAGTTTACTAACGTTTCAGAGGTCCTTCTTGCCTCCATAATCAGGGTGATCGCACGGCATCACAGCCCAGAAGACAAACATCTTCGAAATTTTATCTGTTTACTTCGGGTAGGTTAAAAGTGTCGATAATGATAAGATAGTACGACAAGTGACGGCCGAGACATTCACCTTCTAGGTCGGAAGTAATTTGTGTCTTCATTGATGATTTACGCTTGGCCTTATAATCACCACCTGTGTTGTTAGCATCCGTGTGTGTAATGAAGATGAACTAGAGGAATGAGGGTTGAATTAAATGACCGAATATTAATTAAGATAAAGATGCACGCCTCTTGTTGGAGTACAATATAAACACGTCAAAAGAAATCAGTTTCAAAAATATAACGTCTTTGCCAAACCAAATCTAACGTAATCTAACCTAACCTAACCTAACCTAACCTAACCTAAACCAGACACGTTCGAAACTTTCAATGGATTTGGAAAACACTCGACCACTCAGCTTTTGAGCGTTGCAATCAGTAAACTAAAATGCAAATTGAGCAGAGATGTTGTCACATGTGATAAATTCTTGTGGGATGTAAGTTTTGGTTTAGTTTTTAACAAAGAATTATCTGTGGACGTTAATAGTTGCAATAACAAACAATTCGATGACTTTTTTTGCTTGTGTTGTGTGTGTTACGTTTGTTGTAGAGAACCACACTTCTTCAGTGTAACAGATGCATGCGTGTCCTTAACATCTTTTAGCCTCATGTGGATCAACTATAAGACCTTATAAAATATTATTTGTAGTATGAGATTATCCACAAAAGTCGCATATTTGTAATGTAAACAATATTTCCTGTCGAAATTTCAGTCTCTCATCCTGGCGGATTTTAAGATGACTGTCTTGTAGGATGTTGCGCCGTCCAGGGAGACAGCGAGAGAGAATCTCTGAAACGTCTGTAAACCTTCCACGAGGCTACGCAGTGCATTTTAAAGATCAGAGTATTTCGATTTCCCGTACCATCTTCATTGTATGTACCTTGGATGCTGCATCTGATGACGTAATATACGGGCAGTTCCCCTTTATCGACTTGTTCCTCTCACTCCTCCTACACCGCGCCCACGAACTGCATTCTACCCCCTCCGCACTTCGCTCCCTTTGTCCAGAGACCGACAGTACTCCCTCCTGCCCCCCTTCCGCCCCCTCAAGCCCTCATGATCCTCAAGGCCAAGGTCAAACAACTTCAGTTCTAAAGATATTCTCTCTCACGTTGTCGTGCGACGTTCTCATCGATTTACAGTTCCGGGTGCCTGATGCTTCAACTTTATCTCAACTTTGCTCTTAAAGTGGGATAGTATCATTTCGATGCACAGTTTTACTTTCGTGGCAACAAATATTCCTTTAACCATTTCTTTCAATCCTGGGGACACATCACAAAAAATGTCGCTGGATGTTAGTCACAATATCGCAATTCCACAAGTATTTATTCATTAAAGTAATTCACAGTGAATCTCTCTGCCTGTTTAATGATGTATACTGCCTTATTTCAATTTGGTACGCAATAGAAACCCGGTTAAATTAAATAATATTTGAAAGGAGAATTTCGTTCAAACAAAATAAGCAAGTTTATAGGTTAAATTTTCTGGATGCACAAAAAGTGGAGGACAAGCGAAAAGGAATTTAATAACAGTATAAAATAACGACTGTAATAAATAATAAATCCATTTCCTGCTCCTAACACTGAAATAAAAACAAAGCTCATCCAAATGTATTTATTTTTGTAAAATGTGATATGGGATTAATATATATATATACATACACACATACATTTCAATTATCATTGTACCGATATCGATTTACGCCGAGAAGATCGGGACGCATCTGTTCACAAGTTCTCAAAATGAAATTACTATTCGATTAAAATTCATCCTCTAACATTTACGTAGAGCTGGTAATTTATCATTACACCCGTGTAATCATCTTTCCACCGCCGCTCCGTACTTATCTATCACCGCCCAACGAGGTTTGCGATTGCCCTGGCCAAGTATCACATTCTCGTACCCTCGGCCCAAAGTTAGGGCTTTTCCTCTGACAAGGCTCTTGGCTGGTCTCTTAAAGATTGTTTAATTATTTATATTATTAATGTAATTGCAAAGAAATCTTAATCGACTTGGTAAATCAGCAATGAACTGTTATACAGTCATCCTGATTTGCGCTGTGTAATCTTGTACAAATTTACCGACGTTTCAGAGCTGCTTACTGCCACCATCATCAGAGCGAATCACTGTCAAACCAGAAGACAGCCATCTTCGTACTGGTTCAGTATAACTTTGCATTGATCTAATTGGAGTGAGACATAAACGTTTTCTTAGAAGAATGGTTTTGTAACGACAGATAAGAAAACCTACAATTATTTCCGTAGTAATTAAACTTCGCAGCAATATATTTATTTCTGAAAACATGTCCCGCACTTCACGGGGACATTTCTGACAACAAGCTGTAAAAGAATGATGAAACTGCACGAGTTTCTTACTCTGATAGTCTTACGTATATTCGCGTTGACCAAAGAAGAAACTGTTACCTCTGCGTGTTTTAGTCATATCTTGGTTCGTGGGTTCAAGGTTGTACACTTCTAGACGCTGTCTTCGAAATGAGAATGACAGTTTACGTCCGAGGGCTGAGTCACACGTCCCAAGTTCTTCAGATGGAGTTGCGCATTTGATTCCGTCTCCCCCTTACTCCTTAGCTACTCCATCAAGTTGCATGTAATCCGCTCAGTTGTAAGGAAGTAGTGGTACAGTGTTGGTTGCTTTCAATTCTGCGCAAAATTCTGCGTACTTCGTCAGCAATAACAAGATGGTGTGTCATAATGCTGCTAATTTTTACTGCCAAGATGTAAGAAACTTAACCTTATATACAATTTATTTTTGCTGTGGAAATCAAGTCACACGATTATGCTTCGTAACTGAGGGGATTTTTTACGCAGAGTTCGCATACTCTCTTGTAATGGTGTGTCTCAAAACAAATCACGTGTTAGCCACGGAGGGCTGTTACTTAATTCCGTTGTATTGAAGCCCTTGTTTTCCTGCTTTAACCTTACTCTGTTCAAGCACTGTGTACACATTTTGTTGGCAGTGTGATATACTTCTGTTTACGACAGGAATCTGCCTTTCCAGATGAATTCCAGGAAGTACAGTACCGAACAAAACTATACAAACGGGAAACATTTTGTTTTTCATTTACGTCTGCACTCTTAAATGTCTTAGTTTTTTGGAGAACATTTTACATTTCTTTCTAATCTTCGCGATTCGTATGTATAATCTTTTTTAAAATCTTGTAACTCTGTACTTTGCCCACAGAGTGTATTTACGGATTTCATATATTTTTTTAGAATAAACAGCAGTTATTTCTTTAAACTGCATTAAGTAACTGATCTTTGTAATATAAAAGTTCTGTTTTCTTTTCGGTAAGGACTTCATATTTCAAACAGATAAACGAATTCCTTTTTTACTCATGTCACTAACAAGTACAACAATAGCAATGCAGTCAGTTTTAGTTGTGTATTAATTACAAAACGTTTTTTATGTCAATTCGTAATCATTTAAAAACGATCATTCTCATCATATCAGTGTTTTAAGATACGTTACACTCCTAATATAATTAAGGAGAGAGATACAAAGTTCTCACGGCGGCGAGTATGAAGGCGACAGCCTTCTGGAATACTACATTTTGAAGTCTCGTAAAAATTTACCATCGCCCTGAAGATAAAGGCGGTAATAACGTTTGAAACGTCGGTAAACTTCTACGAGACCTCACGGTGCAATATTGCAGGTGGCTGTCATCTTCCGTCTTCGCGGAGGTTTTTCATTGCAATATAAATAACAGAAAATTGTGTTCGTATTGTGAAATACGAAATGTTAAAAGTTTCTTTCTTGACTCTTCAGTGTGTTGGCCGGGGAAGGGGGAATCTTTTCTGAGGGAAGTGTTTCATCTTCTCGGTTATGATCCTCTTTGGTGGGCTAAGTCTTTAGCTAGCCCTGAGCTCAGTGAATCTAGAGTTTCCCCGGCGCTGTGTATCGTCCGCTGCTTGAGCTGGGCTTGTCGGCAGCACTGCACAATCTCGAACAGTTCCCTGCAAGCACTGGGCTAGCTAAGAACCTAACAGTGGGTTTAGGTAGGGAATTATATCATTGTCATTCGAGTAAGACAGCTCGTCAAACCAAATTCATTAATTTGTCCCCTCCATGTTATTTATTTTCAAAGTGAACATGTGATACTTGAAGTTATTGTTTATGGAATGGTGTTGTGATACAATGTAATGATAATTACAAATGTGTTTCACAAAAAAGAATGTTTCCCACTTTGGAAGGATGTTCGTAAACGTATGAATGGTTAAACAGGTCCGTCGTGTATGAAGGAATTTCTCAAATTGAATAATGACACAAGAGCGACATATTGTTAAGACGTTGCTCTCTTCAGGCAATCATGTCACTGTGTCACTAAAGGAAAATGTAGAGCGAATTTCGTGCACTTAAACGTCCCTCCGCCCCCCCTGTTATCTGTACCAGTGACTCATTTCACCAGGGTCTAGTATTGATTTAGTCCTCCACTGTACTAAGGGGAGAGCCCTCCCCCAGCAAGTAAAATTGCACAGGCTATTCATATATTGGACACAAGCCATATTCATTAAAATATTGCAACAAATATTACGTCATTGATTCAAGAGTTACATAAAGAGTTTCGAAATTATATAAATATTTAAATCAGCATGTGATTCTCACGTGGTTAAATTTCGTTTGGCAGACATTTTAATCGTTTGAAATAGATTACATTATTAGCGGATGAAGGCACTACGTAATTATTTAACTTTTTCTTTTGTTATCAGCTGTTGTGATACTCTCTCATTCTTTTCTGAAGCTTCAAATTAAGTACTTGATCGTAACAACATTAATTTATTTACTGTGGCATTGACCTTAACATGAAAAACAGTTGAAGTGACGACAGCAAGCAAGTGATGAAAGTGTTTGTGTAAGTGATGCGTTTCCGTCGTGTTGTGATGTGCACTACAAATATGATGATGGCCAATTTCAGTGCAGTTCTTCGATATAAATACTTGTTTGAAAACAGTGCATTGAGGTATTGATGCATCAGGAAATGGTTGTGTCGTAGAACTTAAAACTTACAGCTCTTAAAACAAGTTTGTAACTCGTAGCATCTTATGACAGCAGTCCACAAAGTGATTATGAAGTGTAGTAATCGAAGCGTTTTGATTGTTTATGGAATGGTGTTGTGATACAATGTAATGATAATTACAAATGTGTTTCACAAAAAAGAATGTTTCCCACTTTGGAAGGATGTTCGTAAACGTATGAATGGTTAAACAGGTCCGTCGTGTATGAAGGAATTTCTCAAATTGAATAATGACACAAGAGCGACATATTGTTAAGACGTTGCTCTCTTCAGGCAATCATGTCACTGTGTCACTAAAGGAAAATGTAGAGCGAATTTCGTGCACTTAAACGTCCCTCCGCCCCCCCTGTTATCTGTACCAGTGACTCATTTCACCAGGGTCTAGTATTGATTTAGTCCTCCACTGTACTAAGGGGAGAGCCCTCCCCCAGCAAGTAAAATTGCACAGGCTATTCATATATTGGACACAAGCCATATTCATTAAAATATTGCAACAAATATTACGTCATTGATTCAAGAGTTACATAAAGAGTTTCGAAATTATATAAATATTTAAATCAGCATGTGATTCTCACGTGGTTAAATTTCGTTTGGCAGACATTTTAATCGTTTGAAATAGATTACATTATTAGCGGATGAAGGCACTACGTAATTATTTAACTTTTTCTTTTGTTATCAGCTGTTGTGATACTCTCTCATTCTTTTCTGAAGCTTCAAATTAAGTACTTGATCGTAACAACATTAATTTATTTACTGTGGCATTGACCTTAACATGAAAAACAGTTGAAGTGACGACAGCAAGCAAGTGATGAAAGTGTTTGTGTAAGTGATGCGTTTCCGTCGTGTTGTGATGTGCACTACAAATATGATGATGGCCAATTTCAGTGCAGTTCTTCGATATAAATACTTGTTTGAAAACAGTGCATTGAGGTATTGATGCATCAGGAAATGGTTGTGTCGTAGAACTTAAAACTTACAGCTCTTAAAACAAGTTTGTAACTCGTAGCATCTTATGACAGCAGTCCACAAAGTGATTATGAAGTGTAGTAATCGAAGCGTTTTGTGAAATCACGTGGGAAATGTGAAAAAACCCAGTAAATATTCTTGTGAAAATTGTTCAGAATTGTAAGAAACAAAGAGTTGTGTTGGCGGCCTACGTGGTAACAGCACTGCGACGCACCAAACTGAAACATCGATACTGAACAACGATTGCAAACATCGGAATTATATGGTTTAAAATCTTCAAGAGTTCAAAGTAATAGTGCAATATCGACGGTAAAAATCGCGGTTCCAGTTCTCGACTTCTCCTACAACTCGCTGTCGTAAACATTTGGTTCCCATTCAGCGATCTGCCCCCTTCCTGTTGCCCTCACAGGTTCGGTGGGCATGCTACCATGTCGGATGGGAAGGCGAAGAGGCCCCGAGAACACCCTGAACCTCCTCCAGCGCACAGTTCATCATTTGCGTCAGGTAGGATGAACTTCTTATGCTGTAGTTAGTAACACTTTCAATGTCGCGAACGAGATGTCTCGTCACTTTTCTGAATACTTAAGCCAATAACGTCTGTGTTTAACAGTGGCAGGGGAAGAG